ATGGCATATTCACTGCCAAAAGGCAGTTAAAAATTTTCCATATTATTCGTTATTTCTTATTTTATTCAAATTTTTTGGACAAATTCCAAATTTTCTCTCAAACCATATACTTTTTTTTAGTATAGATGGTATTTATTTACCTCATGATATGCTGCAAAACCTAATTAATCACGAATTTCTAATTTTATGTACTCTTGTCTCCGATTGTACCTCCCAAACATCCTTAATATAAAAAATAGTCCTTTAAATGTCCTTGTGGAGTATAAAATTGTTTCAGCTATACCTAAAGATTTTGTCATTAATTTGAAGTAATTTATAGTGAAAAAAAAATTGAGAATGAATTTTCTTATTAATATTCACATTATATGTCTGATCGTGTTAGTTCTTTTTACCTTCCCGGATACACTCGCTGAGTATTCTAATTGTTGGTAAAGCTAATAAAACGTCAACAATGCATGCAATCTCAAAGAATGTTTCGTAGGCATAAAGCGTGACGTTTTATGCCATTATCTGGCATAAAATTGCGAATTAATTCGCCGTTTTGGTGATGTATCTCATTTAAATATAGGGAACGACAGAGATAGATTCAGTGACTAGATACGCTGTGAATTGTGCTAAAATAGTAAATAAATGGGCTATAGCGGTGTTTTAATGCTTTAGATGAGTATGTTAATATTGTAAATATCAATAAAATTTACACTTTGTGGCGAGAAATTCTGATTGAAAGAAATCAATCAAATTCGAAATATTTGTTATCTAACTTTCTACCTAAAGTCAACAAATTAAGTGCAATTCTTTTTATGTCCTCTACATTGGACAGAGTGGGAGATTTATAAGCATAAGAATAAAAGAGCACATTTGTAGTATTAATAAAAAAGACAAAAAGCAATCGGATCATTGTAAATCGTTTAATCACAATTTAGATAAATATAATGTAGTAGGTAGTGGTAACAAAAGTAAAAATTTATCTCTTCAAGAAAGTCTAGAAATCAAAAAAGCTCTCTCGGGTAAGTTTCATAGACTACCCACTTATTTTGGCTAACTTCTAGTTTACACGACACATATAAAGCTGTGTTTCTTTTAGTACATTAGTATCTACTATATGACATTGAAAATGATCGCGGGACCGAAACTGGTTAGAATTTTTATAAATGAAACTCTAATGAAACTTTCCAATAGCGTTTGTTTTCTTTTTACTGTAACTATCGTTTATAACGACGTTGAAGAAAGCGGCGTTTGGACGTTATAACCGTAGATAAGTATATCCAAACGTTACAACAGCAAGTCTGTGCTTTAGATTTGATTTTGTAACTTTTTTTTTTAAATATTTCAACAACTTGATGCAAATCTAGCAAAGCAGTTTTGATATTTTCGCCAGTATTACCGTGAATGTCCGTTATCTGTGTGTATATGTTAACATATGCACCGATGAATGTCGACATTCACCAATTTCCATAGTGTAAATCCGAAATTATTTAATTGTTCTGTTTTAATCAGGTATACAAGCAAGTGTTACTTACTGACTTTGATTACTAGGAAGTCAGATAAGTCAGGACGGAAGGAGTAGTAAGGATATAAATCAGAGGATAGCGCAGGGTAGAGTAACCTTTAATAAAAAGAAGTCACTTCTATGCTTGGGAACGATTAATTTAGAAATTGTAAAAAAATTGTTAAAGGTATATATTTGGAGCGCCGCACAGTGCGAAACTTAGACAGTGGGCGCGACGAAAAAAAAAAAGGTTAGAAGTGTTCGAAATGTAGTGTTACAGATGAATGATGAGGATATCGTGGATAGAGAAGGTTAAAAATGAAGAGGTATTAGAAAGAATAGGGGAACAGAGGACTCTCTGGAAGTTAATAAGAGATAAGCGGGATAGGTTGGTAGGACACCTTCTCAGGCATGAAGGTCTAGACATATTAGAGACAGAAACGGAAGTTAGGAGGGGAAAAGGTAGACCTAGATTAGATTACTGTTCGCAAATAGTTAAGGAAGTGGGGATGTTCTAGTTTTAGGGAAATGCGAAGATTAGCTGAGGATAGGAAAATGTGAAGGTACGTGTCCAAACAGTCTTAGGACTGACGACCTTATGATGATGAAAAGATGACTGAAGGTGCAGGTCGTATTTGTATGAATTTTCTTATAGTACGTTGTATTTTTCAAAAGATGATCCCGCCTTTTTATGATCACATGTAACACACATTTGAATCGTTTTCTTAATAAAGAATGAAATATTATTTCTGCTTTTGTCACTTACCTTTCTGGGTTGTTCCGATATTCTACTATGGCAAGAGCATTTTCGTTCAACTTCATCCTTGTTCGATGGAGAATAATCTGGCGAGGTTCCATGTTGAACCAAAACGTTAAGGCACTATAAAAAATATGTATTGGGTAAAAAGGTTTGGTAACTTCACAATAAATATGCCCCTTAATGTGCGCCACACCTCAAACTATTTTCGAAGTTTTCTTCGACTGAAAACTGAAAGGGTCTTTGTACATTATCAAATTTTTTGCCAAAACCTAGGGGGGATTTATATATACGGTAATTAAATCTACTCATTTAAATTTAATTACACGTTGAATTCAATCATTATTAAATTTAATTATTTGAAATATACATTAATTCAGGTACAGTACCGGTGAATAGACAGATAGATCGGCTTTTTAAATACTTTGGTTTTCACTACACCATCAATTAAGCATTAATTCTAGCTTCATGGTCACCGGTACAGTACCGGTGAATAGATACATCGGTTCTTTTTAATACATTGGTTTTCACTACAACACCAATGAAGCATTTATTCTAGCTTCATGGTCACCGGTACAGTACCGGTGAATAGATACATCGGTTCTTTTTAATACATTGGTTTTCACTACAACACCAATGAAGCATTTATTCTAGCTTCATGGTCACCGGTACAGTACCGGTGAACAGACACATCGTTTTTTTTTTTTTTTAATACATTGATTTTCACTACTTTGGTCTTTTGGCCATTATAAAATGCATGAATGTATTTTGTAAAACCATGATAAATCTCACAGACCGGAAAAATATTCAAGGAGGGTAGCATACGATCCGCGCGCCACAAGCTGGCCAACCCTGCTCTGGGTCATGCCGCTTGGTCAAAAAATGGGTTAGACAGAATAAATGGGCGTTTTTTAAGCTAAATAAGTAACCCATTAACTTCTAAAAATGACTCACATTAACTGATACCAGATTGATCAAAAAAATGTTCTCTTTTTGACTATGAACCGTTATGTTATGTCTGCGGATTGACTTCTATGGTAAAATTATCCAATTTTGCCAAGACTTTGGACTGAATTAGAAGCAAGTGAGTTTTTTTATCAACCTTCAATTTTCGGATTCGACGTCCAATTCAATTACACATCAAACAGAACATTCTTTTTAACGGATCTAGTTTGATTATTTGATGAAAAATAAAATTAGTAACCATTCGATTATAACCCTCTGTACTGTTAGTAAAGCTACCAGAAAATATTTTACCCCTGCTTGAACCGCATAATAAAAAGTTACCTCAACCTGCTGATTTTCTGCGGCATCGTTAATAGGGCTTTTTCCATATTTATCTAAAGACAGTCGAGCGCCATGCTTTAGAAGCCAACGGACTGTTTCCAGGTGGCCCCGGGAGGCCGCAAAATGTAAGGGGGTGGCTCCGTCGCCGTCACGCAAGTTGGGGTCTATTCCTTGCTCTTGAATCTAAAACGAAAGGAAAGCATTTAGTACGTTAAAGGAATCTCAACAAAGAAATACAAGAAATGCTCCAATTCTCTAATTCAATAAGGAAAAGAAACATAAAGAGCTAATTCGAGATATATTAGGTGCAGAAGCAGGAGTATAAAGGGGTAAATAATGATGATGATGATGGTGTAAATTTGAGAAAAGATTATAGAGGAATTAAGGCTTTTATTAAATGGAGATATAAAAATATTTACCATCCATTTCACACAATTCAAGCACCCCATCTGACTGGCTGCATGAATGGGTGCCATACCATCTTTGGCCCTTACAAACAGGGAACCACCGGCTTCTACAACCAGGAATTTGAGGACTTCCAGGTGACCCTCTTGTGCGGCTAAATATACCGGGGTCACATCATTGTCCATTTGCGTATTTGCACTAAAACGAGATACGTATTCGAAATTAATTTAAAACAAATAACAATAACGTCAAATATAACACTAATAATAATTAGTCGAAAGTTAATACAGAATATTCTTCATTTTGTCCAATTTTTAGAATAAACGATCTTGTTGAGAGTAATAGTAATAGAAAGGAGTTTTGTAAAAAAAATATCTATTTCTAATTTCTATTGCTTCCATCGAAAACACTAACTAAAGGTCACATTTAAAATCTTTTTAGATATATTACATCAATAGGGTGGAAGAAGAAAAATATTAATCTCAAACACTCTATTGAATGAGGTTCAAGAATCTTTAGGTCACAAATTTAGACCCACAAATCAATTAATGAAATATATATACAGTGCAAACTCTATATAACGACACTTAAAAGATTAAACATTTTTCGGCGTTATAAATAGTGGTCGTTAAATGGAGAGAAATAAAAGATATTATTTTACTATTCTATAATAATATGCATTTACCAATATAGTACACATTTTGCACACGAACATTATTATTCATACATTGCGTATAGCCTGTTATCTTCGTCTGATGTTTTTTGCTACTCCAATATTTTAACTGTATTTTGTTACGTATCTTACTCATATCTTGAGATACTGCTGGATCAATTTGATTATATAAAAAGTGTGTTTTTAATAGTTTCGCTGCATTAAGTGCTTGTTTGATGCTTGGTGGAGGGACAGGATCGTCTTCTTCAACAACGTACACAGCTGCAGTTCTTATCTATTTCGGCAACTTAGAAAGTACTGCTCAATGATTTATAATGCCGCATTGTTGTCGTTAAATAAAGTGAGCGTGACGCTATATAGAGAGTAATATTGTATAGAAAACAATGTAAACCAACCAAAGTCAAGCAATTTCGTCGTTTTAAGGAGTTTGTCGTTAAATCGAGTGACGTTATAAAGAGTTTACACTGTATTTATTAATTTATGGGACGATAAAAAGGTTATACGATACAGACGAACACTGTCCGGCTTTTAGGGTTCCTTAGCCAACTAGGAACCCTAATAAGGGTAAATTGGTTATAAATAAAATGAATAATCTTGAAATTTTTAGAATTAATTTCCGTATTGTGAAACAGTAATTAGTGTAACAATTAAATAGATATCGGATGGTTAATGTACATTTTTAATAAGTCTTGTAGGGTACTAACGCGTTATTTGCGTTACCAAGTGTTACGCTCTGGCTGCGTTGCTACTTGTTGATACTTGATCTGAGAGTGCTTGTTTCCGATTGAAAAATTTCATAATTACGTGTTGTATTTTCACTTAATGAAATAATTTAATAATTGATCGAATATTTTCACGCCAGGCCAAAAAAAATGCATTCTTCACATGACGAGCTAATTATAAAACACGAAGCAGTGTAGAATTCATAGTTTGATTTGGAATTATACGTGTAGATAATAGACAGAAACAATTAGTTTTAATTATTGTTGTATCTATTTCAAAAGACTTATAAGTTATCTAGTTCTAAAGTTGTTTAGTTTTGTAGCCTTAAAATTTTGGTTAAACAATTAATTATAAGGTTTGTCCAAAAATAATTAGTGCATAAATGTATAAAATTTTATTACAATATTACAAATAAAAAAATATTCTTTTATATTGTAACAACAAATTTTTCACAAGTTTTCAGATTTTTGTCTTTTATTTCTGCTATAAGACATTACTTCTTGTCAAATTTCATGATTCTTTTGATTGCGATGACTTAAAAATTTTATTTTTTCACAACTCCAAGGAATTGTAGACTTAAATATTTTATATTAATTTCAACCTGATACCTCCACGCGTTCATAAGAAACAGGTGTAGAAGGAAATGATTCTATAAGGGTTCTCTTTCGCCTTTTAAAGTATGGAACCCTAAAAACGTGGCAACTTCTGCAATCGTTTCGGTTAATGAAAACGCCCATCCTCATTTTCGACAAATTATTTTTTTTATATTAATTTAACTTTTATTTATGACCTCATTAGACTTACTTTTAATGACAACTATTACACGAAGTGCATAATTTTTTTTGCACTACACTCAGTGTAATCGTGTGTTTACATAACAATCATGTACACACACAACAACATATGTACAATATGACATAATTTACACACCATGCAAGTGTAGAATATGTAATATACAAAACATTTTATACACATATGTAGATATATACATTTTTTTTTAAACTAGTTTGGATGGCATACAAGTACGTAAAACTTTCACTTTAAATATCAAGAGATGAACAGGGAGTAGACGAATGTGCAATTTTTTTTGCAGTCATTATGCCTTCAGTATGTTCCATTTGGTGTTTGCTATTTACTGTATGATATAAATTTCGGCTCATGTAAATTTTGGCAGCTATTTTATTTCGAACAATTTTATATCTCATCCTTTCTCTAATGCACTGTAGGAATACGTTAGGATACCTTTAGGGGTTCTGTATCCAAAAATTCTAATAAAAACCCTATTCTCTTGTGGAAACGCTTTTATGACGTCTGTCCGTTTATCACTGGCTTCTAGTTTCTAAACCAAATGAGGTGCTGACTTGAAGTTTACATATAATGTGTGAATTAGTGCCCCAGGGACAAGCATCGTATATGAAGTTAAACATATTCAAAGGGGACACCATAGGTGCAAAAGAGGGACAAAAATAATTTAAATTAATTATGTATTTCAGGTTCACCATCGGTCCTTTCAATATCACTACTTTTGTCTATAGAAGAGCGAATTATATCATAGCCCCTACATGACTAATTTCCATGGAACTCAGTGTAAAACACTTAAAAAAAATAGCGACCATTTAAAAGTTAGCTATTTTGAAGTAAATATACGTGTTACAGTTAATCTAAAAGTGCTTACTGTTTATAATTTCCAAAAAAAATAATCTCAAAAGTTATCGTCCCTATTTATTATGTATTTCCAAAATCATGACAAATACGATGCCAAACAAGTACTATTACGATTGAACGTCTTCAAAACGAACCAATTTACGTAAAATTATATTTCTGTTGTATGCTTGTGAATTGTATACTGTTGACCTTTGAATAAAGGCTTTTTTTTTCGTTGTTTCCAATGAATTCTTCATTTGTGCCACATATAGAAATGTCAGTTATTTGATTAATTGTTTAAGGAATTAACTGATCCATATGTTCATCCACCAAAACAACAACGAATTACATTAATTTATACGTAAATAGTGACTGCTGAGACAAACTTTTAAACTTTTACTTCACATTACAACAAGTTTGCAACGTCAGGTCATCACACGTGTATACACATACACACGATACATGTGTTGAAACAATCGACGTATCAATGTCGTACCTTATTCTTTCATTGTTGCATTCGTGGTATCTTTTCCCCATTTTCTCTTCATTTTCCATGCGATGATTTTTTCTTAATACGTGCCTCTTCGATCGAAGCAAGCTTTGTCTTATGACCGAAAAATATCGCGGACTGATATGCAACAAACGAACAAACAAACAAACGAACACACAAAGATAAAGGAGATTGGGTCGCAGTGGCGCTTGTTAGTTGCCACAGTTGATACGGTACTGCCGAGTGGTTTATGCAGCCATTCAATGCAGCTATAGTACCGAATTTGGAACACATTTAATAATGAAAGTCTGCACGTTTACGATTAGTTAGACCGGTGCAGAACAGGTGGGGAAGCGATTTTATTATACGAAAGTTTTAATGGCGGTTAATGTTTAATATTAATGTGAAAATTCATCCAATTTTTATCCACTGAAAATTACCTACCTCGAATTAATAAGGAAAAATTGTTGTTGCTGTCGCATCCTCGCCGGGAATCGAACCCCGGACCTTTGGCTTTACGCGCCAGTGCTCTGATCACTAAGCTACGATAGGTGACAACAGAAATAATGATGAAACGTACTTTTTTGGGTCACAAATTCGTCTAACTATTGTATATACAGTCTATTTCAATTTGTTAGAATTGTGACCTTGAAGAAATCTGCGTGAAGATAGAAAGAATACACACTAGGCGTGAGCAAGACAGAAATAGTTGGAACAAGCTTGAACGAGCAGAGCTCTCGATGGGCGGTCTTAGGAGATCGGCTAGAACTGTACAGTACTAGACGAAAATGTTTAGCAATTTCTTAAAACAAAAATGTATATAAAAGCAAAGCAAAAGTTTTATAGGTGTGTAGAACGTTAAGTTAATTCACTTATTATTATTTTTGGCTAAATATGCTTTTAAATAATGCATATTCCTAAAATTTAACGAGGCAGTTTAAATAATTTTGCAAATGGTACTGTACACTTTTGTCTAGTTCTCGCTGGATGATCTGTGGAGAAATGAGCTCCGCAGACAAATATGATTGAATTTGGAATTATGCTACGGCGCATCCTAATAAAGGGAAGGGGCATATCTCTAATCTCCTGAAACGAACAGTACAATGTGTCTACTTCATATATGAAATCCTATGGCATTTATTAGTTAGTTAATAGTGGATTAATATGCAATATTAATTTGAAATCATTTTTTCGATTTTTTATTTACCCACTACAAACTACCTCAAATTAATGAGGGAAAAATTGTTGCTGTTGTCACACCCCCGCCGGGAATCGAACCCGGGACCTTTGGCTTTACGCACCAATGTTCTGACCACTAAACTACTAGAGGTGACAACAGCAACCACGACCAACCGACCTACAAGGTTAACGATCCTCATTAATTTGAGGTAGTTTACAGTGGGTAAATAAAAAACCGAAAAAATGATTTCAAATTAATATTGTGTCTACTTCAGTTGACATTATATGGGGGAAAAAATTCTTAGCCTTTCATATTCATAACAATCGAGTTCGACCGCTTCAGATATTACAATATCGACTATAATTTCGACTTTCGGCACCATTCAAGCAGATGACTAATTGTAATCATTTTCATTCTTTCAGAAACAACGAATGATTGAAGCCAAAAAGAAGCGCCTTCGCAACTATAAACTGGGTAAGTGTTACGCA